GTTCACGACGTCAAGGCAATGGGAACTGTGGCTTTCGAGCGGTTGCTGGTCAGCTTGGGCCGCAAGTCTGACGAATGGGACTCAGTCCGCGAAGAAATGAAGAAGGAATTCGAGTTGAACAAGGCCTATTCAGACCGAAACTTCTTGGATAACGTATGGGGAGCAGGGGACGACCAAAAGGACATTGTTGATTCTCTTGCATGGAGAGACAAGGAACAGCAAGCCCCCCTCAAGTACTGGATGACCTTCCCGGCCCATGGATATTTAATAGCTGATACGTACCAAAGACCGGTTATTTTATTATCGGAACAGATGCCTGCAACTTATCTTCCTCTTTCGCATACTCCAAACAACAACCCTCCCATCTGTCTGATCCTTTTACCTGACTATTCTCATTTCATCAGTTTCACTTTCAAGGCTGAAGTATGGCCATGCCCCAGGATCAATACATTTTGGAAACACTATGTCAGTGATGAAGCACTGGGTTGGGAGGATTGGATTCAAGCCAATGTTGAATTGGGTCAAGAAGTCTTGTACCCACCTGTCAGAAGATCTTTGCGCTTCAAAAAGGCTCCTATTGATGTTGAATAATATTTTTCATTACTGTTCTCTGTACCTTCCTCTGATTTCCTGCTATTGTCCCTCTTCTCAATTTAAAATCCAAACTACGCTCGTTTATGCCCACACTCTTTTGTAAATCCAAATTTGGCCTCACTAGAATATTATAGCATTTTTTACCTTTTCCCATTGATAAATTCAAGTTCGGAAGGGTGAATAACCACCAGGAACTTCCCACTGTGCTTGCATCAATAAAATGAGTGGGAGCAAGAATTAAAACGCAAAGGAATCATTTTTATGAAAAATTAAGTTTACCATTAAATTCTACACCTTTTAAAGTGTAGGAAACAAATTTACAATGTCAAAAAATAATGAAAAACAAGCCACTAAGAATTAATTGAAAAAATGAGTGGGAACGGAAATTACAATGCATAAAATTCATTTTTATGAAAAATAAATTTTACCATTGAATTCTACACCTTTCAAAGTGTAGGAAACAGCTTTACAATTTCAAAAAATAATGAAAAACAAGCCGCTAACAATTAATTGAAAAAATGAGTGAGCAGAAAAAAAAAAATCAAAGTCATTTTTATGGAAAATGGACTTTACCATTAAATTCTACACCTTTCATAGTGTAGGAATAAATTTTAAAATTTCGAAAAAACTCGAAAAATAAGCCGTAAAAAATTAATTAATAAAACCGCGTTTAAACGCGGAAACCACGTGTGCTGCGGCGCATCAAAACCGCGTCAAAACGCGGAAAAACCGCGTTTTTTTATTAATGCCCTTTAAATGTATGAAAAAACTTTAAAATTTCAAAAAAGCATAGAAAATAAGGTACACACATGTATGCAAACAATTAAGTGAAAAAGTGAAGAATTAGTTGAAAAATGGTGTCAAATGCAGTAATCAAGATGTGGTTTTCATTTTAATGCAAAATGAATTTTACCATAATTTTTTACATGTCTTAGAGTGTAGGAAAAAAATTTAAAATGTCAAAAAAGAATGAAAATTAACCTGTAGAAATTTAAGTGAAAAAGTGTGTCTAATTTCAGTATTAAAAATGAACCGTTGAGTTTTAAAAAAATTGGATTGCACCATTAAATTCTACACACATTGAAACTTAGGAAATAATTTTAAAATCTCACAAAAGCATAAAAAATAAGGTACATACATGCATGCAAACAATTAATTGAAAAATAAGTGGAAAAAAAAATTAATAATCAAAATTCATTTTTATGGAAAATGGACTTTACCATTAAATTCTACACCTCTCATAGTGTAGGAATAAATTTTAAAATTTCGAAAAAACTCGAAAAATAAGCCGTAAAAAATTAATTAAAAAACCGCGTCTAAAAGCGGAAACCGCGTGTGCTGCGGCGCGTCAAAACCGCGTCAAAACGCGGAAAAACCGCGTTTTTTTATTAAGGCCCATAAAAAAATAAGCAGTACAAAATTAGTTAAAAAATGTGTCTGCTGCGCAGTGCGCGCAGCAAAAACCGTGTTTTTTTGTTAAGGCCCCATTTTTTCTTTTCTTTTCTTTTTCCATTTTTCCATTTTTTATTTTGTTTCTCACAGCCGGTGGCCCTCCCAAGGCCTCCTGTATGGGCAGATATCCCTTGGGATACCTGGATATCCGCCAGGATTTCAGGGGGAAGGGGGCATCCGCACCCAAATCCGCACCCGCTGGCGGGTATCCGTTGGCACTGGCGGGTATCCGCCAGCGGATAACGGATATCCGCAATGGATTATCCGCAATCATCTCTAACAAGATCTAGTTTGTCTCCATGTAGCTTGTTTTTGTATTCTAATAACTGCCATGGTTTGATGCAGATGTGCAAAAAACAAGTGCATCAGCTTGGTCCTGATCAGAGTCAATAAATTTTTATGAATGGACTTTAATTCTTCATTTGGGACTGAAGGTAAGAAAGTGATTTCATAGGCTAAAAATGAATGAATATGTCTCACTTGAACCCATTGTTATGGGTTTAGGTATGGCTTTTGGAATCCTTTTCCAAAGAAAATTGCTCTAAGACTAAACTGAAAAAAAATGAACCACTGGGTTGGAACCTTTTTGGTTACAATTTTGAACTTCACACACTTTTGAAAGCTTAACAATTCAATAAAAACAGTTATTGGCGTATTCAGCCCCCCAGGGGGAGTGCCCCGCTTTGGATTTTATATTTTGTGGGTGAGTAAAGGTTGTTTTATGCCATCTGCTACTCTATTTGTCTCACAATCATAATAGTCGTTGGGAAGTGTACTTTTTGTTGAGTTGTCATTTCCATTTTCACTCTTCTCATCTTGTATGCTACATACCTGTCACTCACATGTCACAGATCCTGTAGTAGACCTGGGCCAGAAGTGAGTACAAGGAAGGATTCTATTTCCTCATCCTTTCCACTATCTCTTCTTCTGACCCAGGTAAGTCCAGCTCACTTGTCTTTTTCATTCTCTCTCTTTCTTGTGTTTTTGGGTTGTATCAAGACTCAAGCTATATTATCATCAATAAAGCAATGCTAACATCATCTCCACTATCTCTTCTTTTGACCCAGACCTAGTCTGTCTCATCACTTTTTGATGACTGTAATAGTCCATTTTCCCATTGAGGGAGATGCAAAAATACCACACATGAAAGATTTCTGAATGGGTGGGGAGGATGAGTTTATCTGATCTAGGGTTCCAATATGGTGCCCTGAAACCCATCCCTCACCCTGACCCCACAGACATCCAGTGATTTCTCCAGATAGTTAACCCCAATTGGATTTAGTTATTAGTTTTTAAAGTATATTGAAAGAGGGGTTTCAGGGAGGAAAACCCAAAGCCAAAATGTCGTATGTCTTTCCCTGTCCGTGTTTTATGCAGGCAATCCCCATATATCTCCCAATATATGTGGGTTTTCAGCATCCAACTGGATACCATATGTCTCTGGTCAAAGCCCAAACCTTGATTTGGTCTGTGGGTTGCACAGATTCATCCAGATTTGTATGGTCTGGATCTGAAACCCAGGCTGATCTGGGGGCTTGACAGTAATGAGTCACTTACTACAAAGCTGTCTTTAAATGCAAGTTTTGGTATGTTGCTGCCTGATTGGCAAATGGTCTGACTCTTGGTTACTCATTGGGCCTTGTTTGGCCAATAACAAAATAAAGGCAGTCAAGGTGCTGTTTGATAACCGCTCCATCAAATTGCCATGGGAGGAACAAAAATAGTAATAATTTTATTTTAGTGAAATTGATGGTCTTGAGAATAGACTATTACACTCTGACTTATTGAGAAGAGTAAATGGATTGCTGCATAAGATAAACCTTGGAGAATTGAGCATTACCTTGCTCAGACACAAACCTCATACAAACACCTGTGGCATGCTATCAATCTCTAGTGTACAAGAAGCCCTTTATGCAGCATAGTGTTGTGACATTAGTCTAAGTCTCGACTGTAACACATGTCACAGATAGTATCTAGATTATATATTTGATTTCCATCACTGCTGTAATGAAAATCATCATCTCTTCCAAGCCTACTCATCCAACACATAGTTGATGAAATAAATTATTAGAAATGAAATTCAATTGGTGCTGTTCTGAATTGGCTTCCCCCTGAACCACATCCAAGCAGTCTTGTAGCAGTCACACCCTGATCCATGTGATAAGATTTTATCAATCGGCCAAGGTATGTTGATCAGTTCTTATTCAGGATCATTTCGGCTGCTTTTTCTGCAATTGCGTAAACTGTCATGGCTGGATGAGCACTAAGCTGGATTGGCAAAATACTGGAAGTGGCAGGTCAATCACAAATTCGTCAGTGAGAAGTTATAACACCCATTGAACGATATAAATCATTTTTTTTCTGGTGTTGTGTGCGTGTTTGATTTACCTGGCATCCACCACTCTCAAATTTTGAGTGCCATATACCCTCAGCTGGGGATCAACAACCCCCAATTGATCTTGCGGAAGCATCGAACAAGTTCCAAATGGGTGATCTAAGGATGAATCAACAATGTTAGTATATTTTTGTTTCTTGTTTGGTTTTTGTGCTGTCGAGTGAATTACTAACACGAAGTCGAGAGCCTACTCCTGATACTCTTCTCCCACTCCTCGTTGGTCTTGACCGATGGTCCAGGATAATGCTCGTCGACGATGATATCCTTATAGGCTTCTTGTCCCATTATTGTTCTAGTATGTTTTGCACCCTGAACCATTAACCAAGCATCAAAAGGATGCATCAAGTATTCTGGAAAGAATTTCATGAATCAGTTGACAAGGAAAATTTCTTGGGAGACATAGTTCTAAGAAAGGCTGAGGAGATGAGAAAATGCCTACGTGGATCTATTAAAGGCGCTGCACTGGGATCTTGACTCTTGATGTGAGATGAGCCGCGCGACAAGGGATGTTGGAGTATTACTCCGACAGTCAAACTAGAAAAAGGTTAACAGAATTTCCGTCAGAGCAACAAAAGACCACTAAAGCTTGCCCTCCTGGCTATACCAGTTGTACGCAAACAGCTTACTATGACGTGTCCCTGTTCGCGGGAACATCGAACTCCTGCAGATACATTGGCAAATAATCAAAATTGAGCACCCTACAAAACTGGGAGTCTTGAGGTCATGACCCATCACTCACCAAGAAAGCGTTGAGTAAGAAGAATTCTATTACCACTCCATTCTTAATTCGATCGACAACGGCTTGAAATTGCTTGGAAGTCATATAGCTTGGGCATTGCTCCAGAAGCTTCAGTCCTTGCTGCATCTCATCTTCATTGACTATCGATTTCAAGGACTGAAAGTCAAGGATTGAAACGGCATGGCTGTATAAGCCGCCGCCTGACTGCTCGTAGATCAACCTTTGCTCGGAAGCATATTGGGGGTCTCTAGACAGATCATCTACGGTTCTGTGACCAGGCTTGAGTCTGTAAGTTGCTAATACAAACAAATGATCTGAAAGATTCGAGCCGACACCCTCAAGGTTAAGCGTTATTGGAATGTTTAAGGGTTTTAAGACACTTTCTTTGCCAATTCCACTTCTTTCAAGGATCGCAGGACTTCCGATAGATCCAGCACTCATTATCACTTCTTTCTTGGCCATAACACGGGAAAGGGTTCCATCACTCAAATACTCGACTCCAAGGACTTTTATACCTGATCTACTGTCATTTTCCTGGAGAATAAGTCTGTTCACCTCGCAATCAGTTCTCACTACTAGATTAGAGCGTGATTGGTTTGGAATATCTGAGTAACAGTGCAAAAAAGATAATCAAATCAGAGATTTTGCTTATCCCCTCCATAAAATAATTAGCAAGACAAGCGAAATGATGACTCGCAATAAGCTGTAGCACTTGTCACACGGGATCCGTTAGAGTCAATGGCTGAAGGGAAAATGTAAGCTCCCTCCAATTTTCCGCCAAAAGGGTCATCATTTTGAATTACATGGCCGGCTGAAGCTGAAGCGCAAAGATATGGCTTGAAGTGCGGCGGGATGTATTTAGGGAAGGAATTTGTAACTGGGCCATCCGTCCCGTGGTTCTTGGAATTGAAAATATAACCTGAATCAACTGGAGGAGTGATCAATTTTTCACTCTTCTTTGAAGCCCTATCAATCTCTGACCATCCCCTATCATGAGAACATCAAACAAACAAACAAAACATCATCATCCAAATAAATCAATGCTAGAGAATGTTTGATAAATTGCTTTTTAAAGAAATGATGAACCATCCTGGATTTCCCAGCCGTTCAATTGTGTTATAGTCATCCGCTTCCGCCCTGGTACTGATGATAAAATTCAAAGCTGACGAGCCACCCAGGACCTTATAAAGATATGAATAAAGACCAAGATCGTCATGAATCGGGACTGGAAACTCGGGAATAACATTTCAAGGGAGGGATACCTTTCCGCGGGGGTAGGATATTTCTCGGTGATTGGCACCCTCTTGTGGAATTGTGGAATACTTCCAGTCAATTTCTGTACCCAGAGTAGTGGCTAAAATGGGGAAGATAAGTTATTGACTCATTTCTGGAGATATTGACAGGATTTGAAGAGGTGCTTCTTCATTGCGGCTCACTTATTAAGCCTGGAATACTTATTCCTGGATTACCTATCCCAGTGCCACCGGCCTATTGAGGAGAACACAAAACATGTAGTAGGAATGTATCATCAGGTGGTCGGGTAAGAAGACTTTAGATCCAGGATTTAAGTCAACAGAATAATTACTTCGAGCACGAGGACCGTCAACTTTGAGTTTTCTGATAACCGGGAAGCTACAGTCAAACCTTCATCCGGAGAAATATATTGATATGGGTCAGGGAAATCCGTTGATGGGTTGAATGTCTAGGGCAGATTTCCTTCACTAACCTGCCAGGCCGCCGCCAACAACAATATAATCGAAATGATCCGACATTCTTTCTTTTCCCTATAAATCGAAAAGACGTGTTAAGCTATCTGACAACATTAGGTAAAAAAAAACGCACAATCCGGACTGCCTTACCGCTGGTCCTATATTGGCCAAGATGATGATCCAGTTTGGTGGACGTAAATGAAGTCTCAGAAAAGGTGTGCGATGTGCGAATGACAAAGAAATTATTTGAGACCTTGATAGTTAAAATTCACGTGTTGCGGGAAGCTGGGTATGCACCCGTAGAGGGCCAGAAGAGCAGCTGGTCGCAACCACCCCGACCACTTTCTTTGCTACATCTTTGAGATCCTGATACCAGACAAGGAATGAAACTTGTATTCTTCCTTGTACAAACCTTGTTGGCTATCATCATGCAAGACTAACGCCGATAATCGTTGTAACTCTCCTTGAGCCTTTTGAGGAAACTTTGAGCCATGGTACACATGTACACAACAAAGCCAATAGCGCTGTTGAAAGCTTGAGGGTCGCGGTGGTTCAAACGCGTCATTGGGCTCGAAGGATCCGGTGGAGGCGATCATAAGGTGGTTTCATCTTGTGCTCAGTGCTACCGATTATTTCGCCGACAAGGTGTCTCCAGGGCCCAGAACTTCGGTACCGGGTGCTTGGCCATAGTAAGTGATTATTGTCACCTGGCACACAAGGTACCGTAGTCCCTCGCCAAAAATCTTGACAACAATTGATCTCTATTAACAATCTTCCATTCCTACACCGCCGGTTCCATAATCAGTCTGGTTTCAGAACTGATAAAGTTTGCGGAGAGGAGTCACAAATGCGCCTTAATCAAGTTTTCATCCGGTATATCCAAGTGTCAGAAGAAGTCTAACAAATTGAAAAGCTGCCTCCACAGAGTTTGTGCAAATTTTCTGAAAGAAAAGTGACTTTCCAACCATTCAATAAAGTATGTTAGATTCTTTTTGCCTTTGTTTCTTACAGACATGAAATATCATTTCATTAGAGATTCTGGTATGGTATTTTTTCTAAACAATTCTTACACAATTAACTTGAAACATATATTTTTTTTTCTAGTTGATTTCTAGCATTACCCAGTATCTGCTATTTCTCTCATTTCAAACCCCCACTCAAATTGAGGCACCATCAAGCTGTGTAATGTTACATCTCCAAGGGTTATGAGAATAGTGCAGGGTATTTGATATATCCAGGATTCCACAAAATATCAAGTGGATAAAAAAAGGGACCATAAAGTTTTTTTGAAAAGTATGGCTAGGACCTAGAGAGCCTGCATAATATATTTTGTTATTTTGTTTTCCAAATTCAACTCAATGGAAAATGGAGGGTAAAACCAAAAGAGAAATTACCTGCTTGTCCCAATGCTCTTAGGATTAATTGGGAGATGCATCAGTCCCTCCTTTTCTGGAGATCAGAGGTTCCATGAAGAATGGAAATTCAGAGGCTTATGTAAGGGACCTTTTTTGATTTTTTTGTCAAGATTAATTCTTTCTGATCTGTGTGATGCTGATGAGAACTATGTAGTTGTTTGTGACAAGTCTAGAAAATGAGTGGATAAAGAGAATAAGTGAATGAACAAAATGAATGTGTAAAGAAAACTAATGAATTGATGAGATGATTGAATGAATAGAATCAATGAATGAATCAAATGAGTGATCAAGGAATAAAATTGATGAATGAAACAAAGTGGATGAATGAAACAAAAAGGAAAAAGAAAGAAACAGTTCCTAAGGATATCACCATGAAGAAAATCCACTTTGAATATAGAGGATCAGTTTATCTTAAGTTCAATCGTGATTAAAAAGATAAGGGGTGTTTTTGTACCTCATTTGACTTGTTTTTTTTCCTATCTCTCTTGGGATTCACGCCTTCCAAGATAAAGAAACACGAGAGATATCTTTATACCTAAGCGATAGATTCCTTGTGTGAAAGTTTCTCTAAACAGGTCCACACGATAATTATCCAGTTTATTTGTCAGATTGGATCCTCAAATCAAGTCATCATGATGATTTTTTTTTTAAAAAATTATGATTTTTACATACCTTTGAGGGCCATCCACCACTCATCCTGTGAGTCTGATCTCTCTGTTTCTGGGCCGATGATTTGGCTTAAGTTGTCCGACATTCCTCCCTTCACTTTGGACCACCAGTCTTCCTCCTTCAGTAGATCTTGAGCAGCTTGCTCTCCGGTCACAATTTCTTCAAAAAAAAGGCAAATTAGTCAATTTTTTTTATAAAAAATACATGTGTTTAAATATACATGGATGAAACCGGGATGATTATAAGGTCTGGTTCTAAGTAAGTTCGTACCTCGGTATATTGAGGTTCTCTCCAGGTATGCAAGTGATATTAGTTCTTCAAATATTATTTCTCGTCCCACTTTCCACTGGGCAGATTCGAAGACTTTGTGGGCCAAAGTGACCACCATCAATCTGAGAATAATGGAGGACCATTGACTAGTTTCGAGATTGAAGGCACTTAGGTTTTCGCATTCGGATTTCATGCTTTTGATGTTCTCATGCACCGCCGCGAATCCCAACGGAAGTGGATCACTTGCAGGGCTTTCTGGATGGATTATTTCGTGATTTTCTTCCAAGTTTTTGTCCCAGACATTGTCTTTATTGCGTGGCGAGGAGGCTTCCGATGGAGGTTCGCGTAAGCCTGGAGGATACGAAACGGGCAAACGATCTGGGCGATGGTTTTGTTCGATCGGGTGGATGAGTTTTTTCGACAACAGAGCGATGATTGTGGCTTGGTCGATCCTGCTCCTTGCAGATTCCTTGAGCAGCTCGTTGAGAGCTGCGTTTTGACAAACTTGGAACGTCCTGTGTTCCCAGTAACTTCTTTCGACCAATGGGCTTGATGCCCTTTCCTTGACAAGTTCAGCGTTCCATCTCTGTTGTGCAGTTTCCTGGCTAACTACCGAAAGTTGATCGGAAACTCCTTGCGCCTTCTCGAAGAAATACCCCATAATTTCGGTGACGCAATTGGGAAGAGGAAGGCAGCGTTTCTTCAAATGATGGTCCTTCGGTGGCAGTAAACCACCTCTAGCGACCGTGTTCGTAAGGTATATGAGATGGAGAATGCTTAAAACCCTCAGTAGTGGCCTGCTTTGGGGACGCATTTCGTGAATCGAGATAAGGTCGGAGATCGATGCTTCAAATAAGTCGTAAGTTGGGAACGAAAGAAGGGAAAAGGTCCAACTCAAGGCGGACGGTCGAAGACCCGGATTGATGAACAGGATGATTCGAGCCTCCAGGACTCATTGACCAGACGAAAGCCATCGAGTCGAACTTGATCCTGACCAAGGTCGATGTGTGAATGATGATACACGCAAAGGGACACGCCGCGAAAGCTGTAGTACAATTTATCTTGCAGAAAGACCTTGTATGTATGAAACTCGATCGGTCTGACCCAGGAATGTGCCAGGCCTCCGCTCTATATAATATTAATATGTGCCAACGGGAAACCATGTTATGAATACCGTGACATCCATGGGCTTGAAAGAGGGCAGGTATCCTTCTAATAGGTATCTGCAAAACCCCACCAAGAGAATTGAAGAATCCAAATGGGCCTCCAATGAGACAAAGTTTTTGGAGAGTCTTTTGTCCAAAAACACACTAGGGTCGGCTGACTCCGGGCCCAATATCGGGACTATGTATGTAATATGTGTATCCGGGATGCCAGATGCTAGGCGGTCCCGGCCCGGGAGTGTCGATTGCCCATCGGCGGAGCGGGCCGGCGAGTACACCACAAGCACCACCGCTCGTCTGGTCAACACACGCTGCAGCCTTCCCTTTCTCCGCCTATCTTTTTCCCGTCTTTCTCATCGGGAAAACTCTCAGTATATGTAAGTCCAAGTTGCCGCTTGAGCCTGAACTGGCACTGCTGATAAATCGTTGTCCCCGGCCGGTGACACCGTCTGCACCAGGTACATACCTGTATCAAACATATTTTGAACGGCGGATACAAAGAATTGTGTTCATGTTAGTAAGTTGCAATGCATACATACATCGGATGGAAATAACAACGCCGAGTACATACGACAGCAAGCCGGCAAGCCTCCGCCTGCCCTCAACAAGATAGCAACATTGTATCATTTGAGGGTATGTTGTAGGATGGCGGTGTAGGAGGCGGGGCGTGCATAGACCAGGGGGCCGACGCCCTTGGACTGTCGCCGGTGCTCCAGCTTATGTAACCCACCTGTTTTTTTTTTCTGGTACTTCTCATGTGATCATGGAGCTGGCTTACAAATGAAGAGCATGGACATTTAATCCCATTAAGGGAAGTTAAAAGATCGATGTCGGTGATGGAGATGGCCGTCATGAGCATTCAACGTCCCGAATTTGTCGGCTCATTAATTGCCACATATACACGTCGCGCAATGAAAAAATGGATCCTGCACCGCTGGTGGTCGTCAAGCCGTTCATGACCGCCGGAAGCTCGTGGGGATTCTTTTCCGTGCCGTTCGCAACATTAAGCGTCCGCGGGAAAAAAAAATGCCGAGCAAAAAAGACAGCGCCCTCTCGGGGAAATATGTATTTTGTGTACAACATGATCTGTAAGAATACACTGCTCTGGGAATATTCGATTGCCGGACTGTTATAAACGCCTTGGAGTCCCACGAGACGAGTGGCCCGGAGCCACAGCGACAATTCTTGTACTGCAAAAAAAAAAAACACGCTCATGCTTCATTTGTTCATCCGCGCCCCCGGTATCCTACCAGCGGAGTCAAGCCAGCGCTCTACTTCATACATACAAAGAGTTAAAATACCCTGTGTTGAGAAGCCGTGTCTCCACACCTCCACCTCTTTATACACCTCTTCGTCTGCAATTCTTCAAAGAACTAGCGACAAACAGATCTGTCGATTGGCACTTTTTTCTTTTTCCCTTGTTTCCACCACTTGGCCAACCAATCTAAAAAATCTTCGATTCGATTCGACTTGCGGGTCATTCCTGGCTGATCATATCCTCATTTTAATAACTTGGAGATAATAATAATCATAATAATCGGTAAGTTTTTTTTTGATCGGTGTCTGTGCTGTGAACAGCCTCTAGCCCTCTGTCCTTATCGCCCATAATACCCTTTCCTTAATTGCGTTGAACCCCCGCGGAAGGAAGGATAAGAAGCCTGTTGTTGTTTCCTCGTTTATATTATTTTTTCTGCGGATCTAAATAATAGTTGGATGATTGGAGACCCCACAACAATTTTATAGTCCTTCACCGTCAGATAATCAAATCAAATCAAATCTGTGTGTGTGTTCGCTTACAAATACTCTCACACACCCAGAAACCAAAAATCAAAGCCAGAAGATTAGACTGAGAGAGAGAGAGGGGAAGGGGGAGAAAGCCTGTTTGTTTTTAGGATATCCACGCTTGGACAGACTCTCTCCTGGCTTTGACTATCATTGCAGGATTCTCAAATTTCTGAAGCGTAAGCTGCCACTCCTTGAAATGATGTGTTCGTTTTGATTCGATGGGATGCGAAGCACTGATCATCAGACCAGGGGCGACCTCTTCTTCTTCTTCTTGTTGTTGTTGTTGGGTTGGATAGCTTCATCCTTCCAAGAAGCTCCTTGGCAATCTCACTCCCAGAATGGCGGCCTTGGAGATCTGTGACCCGGTCAGTCTTCCCCACATTTCCCTCACTCCCCCGCTTGACTTGAGCCCAGAAAGCCATATTCTCTGCGCAGAGCGGATCACTCACTTTCGCCCGAACTTCCTCTTTTTAGGAACACCCCGACCATGAGGCGGCTCGGGCTTCCCTCATACGAAAGCTCGACTTGCATGTCCTGCCAGGTACGTCCCTAAGCCCTCTGACTGCTATCATCTCACTCATCATCATTCATGATCACTAACAATCCCCCCCAAACATATGTTTTCTAGGGTTATCACTCCTCTGGCTAGCTTGCTTCAGTAAGTTTTGCATATGTCCTGTCTGAATGGCAACCAAAGGTGCCCAGTTCTTCACGGCCTCAGAGTGTCAGAGAGATATTGACTACACTCGGATTCGATGACGACACTTTAGTTGATCGGACCAACATCGGCAATGCCAAAGTGGGTAGTCTATAAGATGTTCTTGAGCAGCTTAGAATATAGACAGTTGATCAAACACGCTTTAATCCAAGGTTGGCGGAATGGACCATTCGTTGGGCTTGCATGGGAAACAGTACAACGTCGGCTTGGCCGTCTTGTAAGCCGCATCATGATTCGGACGTACTCTTGTCCTGACGATTGCACGCTCATATGTTGTTCGCTCGGTCCTTCGATAAAAACAGCTACATCACCTACATCTTGTCCGAATTGCCCTCCAATTATATGCTGCGGATCATGGGAGGAAAGGTCAGCAAAAAATCCACATCTTCTTGTCCTCTTTGTGTGTGAGAGAGATAGATTTTCCGTCCAATGTTTGCTCATCTGGGGTTATCTTCCGGACGATGTGTGGGACAGATTTGGCTGCCATTCTTGGTTGCAAGCTGGGGTAAGCACATCAACCCATCAACCCATCAAAAAAATGTACACACCCTATTTCGAGTGCGAGTACTTATTAAGCCTATGATCTTCTCCGTCAATAAATGATACATCCAATCAGGTGTGATCACGATCTTTTCCGGATTCATGAAGAACTACGCCTCTCTTCTCGTCATCAGATTGCTCCTAGGTCAGTCTTTTCACTGACACAAGTCTGTCTGCTTTGGAACTGCCAAACTCCTGCTCTCATCTCTCCCTTTTTCCCCCCGACTTAAGTTCTGACACCTTCGCGTTTCTTTTTGTCCATGTTTCTATTAATAATAATGATCATGATGATGATGGGATGGACTTATAATAGGCTTGTTTGAGGGAGGCTTGTTACCGGTGAGAAGATAGCGGGGTTCTTTAATTTTGTTTTTTATAGACAATCCACCAACCCATTTACATACAAACTGACGATTCTACATAACAATTATCGTTGTGTGTGGGGTAAAATCCGACGTCATGTAGGGAATGGTGAGTGCGGGGGGATTTGATGTACATTGTACAATTTTGCACAATTTTGCATCGAATTGAAAGTGTTTCTTTTGAGATAATTAGGTTGTCTATCTTTCAACGATGTATAAGCGCAACGAACTCCAACTCAGAGTGGGTATTTTCTTCGCCTCTGCGTCACTCAGTGGCGCATTTGGCGGTCTTTTGGCCTACGGAATCGAGATGATGGAGGGCGTTTCCGGACATAAGGGTGAATACATTACAACAAACAAAAAAAAACTCTAACTGGAGAGAACTTCTGGCTTTCTTTATAACCTTGACTAATCCTTTTATCTTAATTTTTCTCTCTTTTTTTTCTCTCTCTTGTTAGGTTGGCAGTAAGTCATTTTCTTTTTTTTTTTTCAGATTGGAATTGAGGTGTTCTCGGCTGACTTGAATTTCGATAATCCAGGTGGGTGTTCTTTCTAGAAGGAATCGGGACGGTTTTGATCGCCGGCTTTGCTCTATTTTACCTACCAGCCAGTCTAGAAAAGGCCTCGTTCTTAACGCCTGAGGAGCGCGCGTTCGCCGGTGAGTAAATTGTGAATATATATATACAAAAGCCTTTTTTTCACTTACACGCCCAATGTTTTTTTTTATTACTTGCTGCTTGAATTACTCAGTGGCCAGGCTGAAATTTGTTCCCAAGCTGAATGCTCAACCAGGGTTAGCTCTCGAGGCTCCCGAGAGCTCGATCTCCTCAAGCGACCAAGCCGAAGCCACGCTCGATGATAAGACTGCTCCCACCCCTCGCGACCCTACAAAGTTTGAGAAGGAGAGACATCTGCCATTGTTGGATTCGGATGGCAAAGTCGCCGACCCTAGTTCAGGGGACACTCAGACAGCTGAGAAATTCGAAATGTATGAAGTCATTCGCGGTTTCAAGGAGCCCCAGGTCTGGCTCACCGGGATTGGCTACATGTCGCTCTGCGTTGGCTTGTATTCGTATAGTCTGTTCCTGTAAGTCTTTCGACCTCATCTTTTTTTTTTTTTTTTTCGTTGGCGTTCATGTTATCTTCTGGGATCGGTTTTTTGGAAATGTAAACTAACTCTGGTTTGATTCTCTTCTCATGACTTCAAAAATTCAAGACCATCGAGTGCGTCTGATTTCTGTCGAGTACATATTAGAAGCGATTATTGACTCCATGTACCTCCCTCGATTATTTTGCAGTTGTGGCTGGGATGGGATACCACGGCACACAGGCCCAGCTTTACTCCTCATTTCCCTATCTCCCGGCTTCCGGTTTGGTAGTGATTGTAGCGTTTGCTGCTGACAAACTTCAGCTGAGAGGGCCGATGGTTGTCATGCTATTGCCTCTAACCATTGTCGGATGTAAGTAATCTTCTCCCTTTCAAATTTGCAATACCTGGCTGCCAAGATCCAATGAACTCTCATATCTACTATCTGCAGACATCTTGGGCCTTGTCGCCACTACCAACACGGTTCGCTATGTGGGCGTGTTTTTCATGGCAGCAGGGATCTATCCTTCGGTTCCTTCAATCCTTTGCATCCTTCCGAACAACACGGCAGGTCTTACCAAACGAAGCGTCACCACGGCATTACAACTCATGGTGAGTCCTCTTCGCTGGAACCACCCAACCGAATTCTAGAAGGGGAAGACAAAGCCAATTGGACTGACCAATCCGCGTCTTGTCACGACCGATCAGATTGCCAATTGTGCAGGGTTCATTGCCACGTTTATCTACACATCTGATCAAGCTCCACAATACAAGAAAGGACACTCGATTGCACTCGCATTCACCTGTTTGGCCTGGCTGATGTTGGGATCCAACTCGGTCTATTGCGCTTGGGAAAACAAAGCTAGGGCCGCTGGTCGGAGAGACTCCAACGTGCAGAAATATCAGGATTTGGTCCAAAAGGGAATTACTTCGGCCCCTATCGGTGATCGGGCTCCCAACTTCAAACTGACACTCTAGAAACTCTTCTTCTTTAATGTGTAATATACATATATATATACATATTGTTTCTTTTTTTTTTTTTTTACTGCCAGGGATAGTTTGCTTTCCTATTACTTGTCTCTTATTTATTCTAACATTGCATGTTTATTGTACTCCTACCTTTTTTTTATCTTTATTTTTTACTCCCGCATGTTGCATAGCAATTCCCCGAAATCGTTTCTAGACCAAACTTTTTTTTAAAAAAAAAAGGATTTGAATTGGGGGGACTTGAAGAGGAGGGTGGAACAGCTTGATTCAACTATCTAAAACTTCCTGACGAATGGACGTCTTTGTATCATAATCGGAATTTGTTTGTCCACGACCTAATACAATGACTCGTAATCAACCTTGTTCTGAATAACTTGTGCCCAGCCTTCCTATTCAAAGGAACCGGAATGGCTTCACTCGAGCACCAACGTATAAATGGTTCCTGCCACTACCTTTTGTTGTGAACTGTGGTTTCGCAAGGATCATTCGGCTACATCGCTTGCAAATCGAGAGACTCATCCCTTTTAGTCCATCTCTGGACCCGCAACTATTCAGGAGGGTACCCATCTTTGTTTCTTCGGGGGTTCGATTGTCGGTCAATAATATAGGCAGGATGTCCGAAGCGAGCTCAACAAAACGTGGTCAAGCAGGCATTTATTCAACGTTATCTGCTTCGAGCTCGGTACTACGTGGCCCATTTTCACGGCAGATTCACTTCCCTCTGCCAAAAAAAAACACTCATACATATCATGAATAGATGAAAAGTTATATAAATATTAGACATACAATTTTTTTGTTTCATACAAAATAGGAGAATAAGTCAACGAGGCCCGAAGAAAGTAGTGTTTGGGACGAAAATGAGTCAAGAAGCAGACTGAAGTAAGAGTTTTTTAATCTGATTGAGTTCGCGTTCATCGAGGGAGAGTTTACCGCGGAGCCGATCGATTTCGATGAGGATATTGAGTTCAGCCCAGTCGAGTTTGCGGAATTCGCGCTGGGCGATATCGGCGGAGAATTCGCCGGTCTCGCCCTTATTACCGATCTGTTGGACGGTCCCTGAGGGGAATCTGTTTTGGGCTGGTAAGGGAGTGGGCGGATGGGCGAGCAGTTTGGAGTAGAAAGTCTCGACGGGATCGGTGAATACGATCTCGTCGTATTGCCATGAATGGACCAGCGGACTAGGTTTGGATGGCAGAGTGGAATCGGTGGAAGTAGAAGGAGGAGGAGGAGGATTCTTGTTGGTCAGGGATACTTGGTCGATGGGGTCGGGCTTCGAAGGGACTGGGTCTAGTGGGACTCCTGATGAGGAGCCAGGTTGCGGCCCAGAATCGGCCAGAGACTGGTCGAGCCAGACCGGCGGGATCGACGAGTTAGGGTCGGCCGTCCAGTCGTGCAGCTTGAGAGGGTGTTGGAGCTGGATGGCCTTCTCGGCGGACTCGGAGAGGAAGTGGATCTTGATGCCGATGACGAACTCGCCCCAGCCGGTCTCGCTGAGCTCGAAGGGCGCCTTGTCGACGACCCGCAACGGGTTGGGATACGAGTCGTGGAGCTTGAAGGTGACCTTCTTGATGAAGTATGACAGATCGTCCGATCCGCCAATCACGTCTCCCGGGATCGCCCGCTCTTCCAGGATCGCCGAGCCCGGCGGGGGCGACGCCGCTGACCGCACGGCCACCGTCCAGCGCATGTTGTGGTCCGGCTTCGCGATTCGCTCCTCAACCGGTATCATCGTTGCAACGCTGCCGTAGACGATCGGCCGATGGATCGCAAGACCCTGCAATCAGGACCGCCCCCGCCCATGCATCGTCAGCCCTGGAACCTGATGATCTGGTCTGCTCGGAAACTCACTCACCCTGACGCGTCGTTTGTCTGCCATCTTCCGGTCCCTCGTCGTGGTTTGTCGAAGCCCAAGTTGGACGAGCGGCGATCGATTGAAACGCAGCCTGAACGAGTGTCACCTGAAATCTCAGCGACATCCTTGCTTGGTGTACATACATACTTATGCACCACCACTGTTACTTTCTTCGTCAAACTTTTTTCTTCTTGCAATCTATTTATTTCTTATTGATATGCAGCTGATGTCCCCATGTTTGATAACAAGAAAAAAAGGAAAAATAAAAAGTGATATAACGACAACAAATCAAAGAAAACTGAACTTGCCAAACTTATTGTGTTTCCGGGTATCCGTCATTGGACAACGGGTATCCGCAACGGATACCCGTTATCCAATGGCGGATACCCGCCACCCCCAACGGATACCCGCCAGCGGGTGCGGATGGCCCATTTTCCCCAAAACCCTGGCGGATATCCAGGTGTCCCCAAGGATACCCAAGGCTGAGAGGATGAGATGGCCGGCTGGAAGGGGCTGCCTTGCCACCCATTAAAAGGGCAGGTATCCATGGATACCCGTGCGGATACCCGCCAGCGGGTGCAGATGCCCCATTCCGCTGAAAAACAGAGGGGATATTGGGATGGCCACAAGATTGTTCGTCAGTACTAGGGTTGACGGCGCCACCTTTTCAAGAGGTGCGCGCCTAGGGGCGCCTGTCAAACCGCCAGAGCATGGCGCCTTTGCCCGGCGAGCCGGGCACTGTCAAAAAAGCTCAAAAAACAAGGTTCAAAGTGATTTTTTTTGTAGAGGCAAGACCTCTGCTACAATGCATAGTGCTTGTGTCAGAGGCCATAAATGCATAATCCCAAGTGGTGAGAGACTGAGATGGGAAATTTTAAATCCATAAAAAATTGAATCTGGTGTGATCCGGTTGGATCCGGTCCAAGATATCTCAGGGGTCCTTCAAAAGTAGGGTTAAAAGTCAGGTGCGCGCCAACCCCCATTTTCAGGATCTTCAGGGACCCGGGTGCACGCACGGGGGGCGGGCGCACTCTGGCGCGCCCCACCCTATGGCGCCGTCAACCCTAGTCGGTACCCTTTGCTAGGTACCTAGTACCGCTTGGGGGGTACCGCCCACACCCGCCGCACACCTGCCAGGCGGTGCCAGGTGCCGGTTTTTTGGCAAAAAAGGGGCGGTACTCAGGATGGTAGTCGGGCGGGCCGACCCAAGGCTGACCCAAGACCCGACAGGATCTGGGTCGGGTTTGGGCAGATTTAGAGGGAAAATCCAATGACCCGAACCCAACCCGGAAAGGGACATAAGATCCACGGGTCGGGTTCAGGCAGGCTATTTGCTGGTTGGGCCGGCCCAGAAACCCAACTTGGACCCGAGTTGGCATATATGTCCTATATGTACCAGTTTGGCTCGGACTTGTACACATCTCCCTAATCTCCATGTCCAACATGGCCCACCCCAGCAAGGCAAAAAAAAAGAATGCAAACTGAAGACAACCCGACTCCAGCTTCCTCTGAGTGTCAAACTCAAGAATCTGATTTGATGGCCATGACGGAAAGCAATGCCATCAATACTCCTAGGCCAACTCCTACTGCTTTGCAAAAGGACCCCACAAATGGGGGTACGGATTTGTCCAGCACTCAAGAAGGAATAGCTGAAGAAAAGAAGAAAAGAAGAAAAGAAAGACAACAAGCGATATATGGTTACATTTCAATAAAATTGTCCATGGTGAGTGAATGTAGATCAAAATCAATTCAGTGGTCAGAAAGCTAACCATTTTGCCACTCATAACAGGCATCAATGTAGGCACTGTGTGCAAGTACTGCAAACAGAAATTAGACGGTAAAAGTACAAACAGTACAAACCACCTCTAATGATGACAATCGGTACCCGTTTGGCGGTACCCGGCACCCGTTTGCCTGGTACCGCCCGGACCCGCCTGGCACCCGCCAGGCGGTCCCGGGTGCGGTGCCGGGTATTGATATTTGGCTGGAATTTTACTAGGCACCCGGGTACCGCTGCCATCGTTCCCTTATTGGGGGTTGGGGGTGGGGGGGCAGGAGCTGGGGTGTTCTCCTCCATCGCCGACGATCTCCTCCCACAGCATATATACGGCCACAACCTCCAACTCGCTCCAGTCCCTCACAATGTCATCCACCCGGAAGCGACCCAAGGCTTCTCGCATATCATCGGCCTCGTCGACCTATCCAACCGAGAATTTAACGGAAACAAACCCCTCCAATCCCAACGAGAGCGCGGCCACTGATGCAGAAGAAGACCTCACGACTCCGGCTAGCACCCAGCACCAAACTGACATGAGTCATGAAGCAAGTGACATTCAGGAGTTGAGTAAGTAACTCATCCTTTCACTTTTATTTATTCAAGTTTCAATGATATAAATCACTAACTAGCGACTTACCATTCCAGAAAGAGCCCGCCGAGTTGCAGCGAATGCCCTCAGTAGTAGCTATCAGTCGTATCTCCTACCCGAGCTCTCGGACCAACGAGACAAGCATGGAAGAAGGATGATATGCTATCCTTGCAAAATGTGAGTTCAACTCACGTTGTCTAAATGGTTTGTTTGATCCCAGCTGACATTGACATCAACATCAACATCGTTCAACAGTTGTGGCTCTAGGATTAATCGTCCGACTTCGGACTCCTCATGCAGTAACCTTAACAAGCATGCAGCGACTTGCCTCCGCAAGCAAAATGAATCCAAGAATCACCGGTCTCTTGCTGGACTTGGTATCAAAGGGACCGGAGACATCAATCCCCAAGAGGCAAGTCATACTGATTCTGTTCAAATTTAGACAAACATCTGCTGATGTTTGATGATTTCTGATCTTTCTTCAGGTTAATCAACTCTGTGCAATATGGTGTGCCGAGGCTGCAAGGCCTTTTTCTGCCCTAGTTGAGGAGAGCCATAAGGCCCTGCTTCATCCAACAAGCAAGAGGTCTCTACCAGGAAGACAAACAGTCTCAAGCGACATCCACATGTTATACTCTGCAATACAAGAGGATTATAAGGCAATTCTAAAGGTATGTGCTTCTCCTTACATCATTAGGACCCCCTTCTTCAATCTAACTTTACTGATTCATCTTATTGATCTCAATATCCTGATTTATAGGCACACACAGGTTCATTGTACTTGGGTGTTGACGCCTGACAGTCACCTAATGGATTTGACATCCTGGGAATTGTGGTCTACCGATTAGCTGAGGACGAATCCGGGGAAACAAAGCTTGAGTCAATGCCTCTCGACTTCATTCGGCTTGCTCGCAGTCACACCGGTGAATATTTGGCCCAGACGGTTAGCTTGGTTGTGGAAAAGTTTGGGATTCAAGACAAGGTCTGTCTGGCCATGTCCAGTGGCTAATTTTTTATCTATTACCAACCACTTGACTAACAAATTTGGTTTTGTTTTTGATTTTTTCTATTTAGATATGTGGGATTGTCAGTGACAATGCTTCCAACAACAAGGTGATGGTTAGTGAACTGAAGAAGAAGAAGTGGGCGCGGTTCAAAGGCGAGCCGCATTGGATACGGTGTTTTGCCCATGTGCTGAACTTGATAGCTCAAGCCATCCTCCGGCCGTTTGGAAGTCAAAAGAAATCGAAGACAACAAACCAATCAGGATCAATTCCTCTGGATGACTCAGAAGATTCAGGCTCTGGAGATGAAGATGAAGAGGCAGAGGAACAAATACGACCATAAGTCCAACTCTGTTAGACTCTTGCTTTGCATCATTACTTTATATTCATATTCTCATGCATTTCTTATTCACTATCAAGGTATTCTCAAGGCTTGGCTGAATCATCATCATTTCATGAAGATGTTGATGAAAGCAACAATGAGTCAATTGCTCAAAATGACCAGGAGGAAACTGAGTTGCTCACTCTCGAGAACATTGATAACGCAATTGATGAGGGTGACTCGGACGCATATACAACGGAGGGTTGCAAGCAAACCTTGGCAAAAGTAGATGTCTCTCATAGACTCATTTTCAATCAGTCTAATTCAAACTGACACTCCTGTCTGATCAATCAACCCAGTTTCATGCCATTGCTAAAAAGTTAAGGTACTCCCCCAATTCAAAGGACGAGTTTCGTCAGATTTGTTGTGATAAGGGATGTGCAACTCCTCATACGATCAAACAAGATGTTCGTACACGATGGAACTCAACCTACTCCCAACTCATCAGCATAATCAGATGTGAGGCTGCCATGTGAGTTCTCCTCACATTCACATGGAATGTTCCTTGAGCTGATGATCTGATGATTGGTTTCAACCCCAGCATTGAATGGCAGAGGCATAAACGACACGGCATTGACCGGAAGTACTACCTTGAAAAATCGGACTTCAACTTAGCACGCCACCTGGCAGAGGTAATGAATATATTCTACGAAATAACCCTCCAGATCTCAACCCCTGGCTCGGCTCGCTTGTCCAACATTGTTGTATTCATTGATCAAATTACTGAACACTTATCAACCGCCATCAGTGGGACAAAGTATCCACCAGTGTTGCGCAATGCTTGTCAAGTTGGCTTGAAACTAACCAACAAGTATTATAGCTTGACGGATATGTCCCCTCTTTATAGGATTGCAATTGGTATGTTAGTCTCCTAGCTTATTGAAGTTGAATGTCCTTCACTAACACACTTGTCAGTTCTTCACCCATCCTTTCCACCGCAGTACTTCAAACTTGCTAACTGGAACCCGAATGGATT